AAGGTTCTAGAGGTTCCGGAGGTTCTAGAGGTTCCGGAGGTTCTAGAGGTTCCGGAGGTTCTAGAGGTTCTCGAGGTTCTCGAGGTTCCGGAGGTTCTAGAGGTTCTCGAGGTTCCCAAGGTTCTCGAGGTTCTCGAGGTTCTAGAGGTTCTAGAGGTTCCGGAGGTTCTAGAGGTTCTAGAGGTTCTCGAGGTTCTCGAGGTTCTAGAGGTTCCGGAGGTTCTAGAGGTTCCGGAGGTTCTAGAGGTTCTAGAGGTTCTCGAGGTTCTAGAGGTTCTCGAGGTTCTCGAGGTTCCGGAGGTTCTAGAGGTTCCGGAGGTTCTAGAGGTTCTAGAGGTTCCAGAGGTTCTCCCAGGGTTCTCCAGAGGTTCTCCTGAAGCTCCTGAGGTTCTCCCAAGGTTCCCCAAGGTTCCCCTGAGGTTCCTGAGGTTCCCCCAAGGTTCTCCTGAGGTTCTCCCAAGGTTCCCCCGAGGTTCCCAAGGTTCCCCCAAGGTTCCTGAGGTTCTCCCGAGGTTCCCCCAAAGTTCACCCGAGGTTCCCCCGAGGTTCCTGAGGTTCTCCCGAGGTTCTCCTGAGGTTCCTGAGGTTCTCCCAAGGTTCTCCTGAGGTTCTTCCGAGGTTCCCGAGGTTCCCCCAAGGTTCCTGAGGTTCTCCCAAGGTTCTCCCGAGGTTCTCCTGAGGTTCTCCTGAGGTTCCTGAGGTTCTCCCGAGGTTCTCCTGAGGTTCCCCCAAGGTTCCTGAGGTTCTCCTGAGGTTCCTGAGGTTCTCCCGAGGTTCTCCTGAGGTTCCTGAGGTTCTCCCGAGGTCCCCCCAAGGTTCCTGAGGTTCTCCTGAGGTTCCCGAGGTCCCCCCAGGGCTGTCCCGTGCCCCTCCCGCAGCTCGGCTCCCATGCCCGGCCCGCGATGGAGCTCGGAGGGGACGCGGTGCCCTGCGGGAAGGACAAATTCATCTCCAGGTAAAGCTCCAGGGAATGCGGCCCGGGACACACAGGGGGATGTTCCAGGGGGTCTGGAATGGGGGATGTTCCAGGGGATGTGGAATGTGGGATGTTCCAGGGGATATTCCAGGGGATGTTCCAGGGGATGTTCCAGAGGATATTCCAGAGGATGTGGAATATTCCAGGGGATGTTCCAGGGGATGTTCCAGGGGATGTTCCAGGCGATATGGAATGTGGAATATTCCAGGGGATGTTCCAGGGGAGGTGTTATATATAACAATATATCACAGTATATAACAATATATAACAATATATCACAATATATAACAATATATAACAATATATAACAATATATCACAGTATATAACAATATATTACAGTATATAACAATATATAACAATATAAAGCATTATAAACACAATACATAACATTATAAATACATAGTATAACATTATAAATACATTATATAACATTATAAATACCGTATGTAACATTATAAATACAGTATGTAACATTATAAATACAGTATATAACATTATAAATATATAACATTATAAATACATTATATAACATTATAAATACATTATATATCATTATAAACACATTATATAACATTGTAAATACAGTATATAACATATCTATGACTATAAAACACAATATTTGAGATAAGTATATATAATAAAAAAACTATATAAAATATATAATATACAAGATCTATGATATTGTATATAATATAGGATATACAATATATGATATATTATATAGAATATATAACTATAATATATATATTACATATATTATACATATAATAACTATATATAGTTATGTATTATAAATATATCATTATATAATATATAAATATATTTATAAATACAATATACACCACTATAAATGTAAATACAATTTATAACCCATTATTTATGACCTAGAACACACAATATTTCTCCGAGCTGGAAGGATGGGAGCAGCCCTGGGTTTTATCTCATTTTGGGGAGTTTTGGAAAGCAAAAGTTGTTCTGGGTGAAGAAAGGGAAATTTCCTTAACAAAAAAAAACATTTGTTGGTGGGATTTTGAATTTTTCCTCTGAAAACTCCCATAAAAATTGGGCTTTGCTGAAAAAACCCTGATGAATAATCATTCCGTTCTCTGGGAAAGAACTAGAACGATTCCGAAGTTTGAAGGGAGGTTTCAAAGGAGATAAAGCAAATATTTGGTATTTCCTCCTCTCCTAACCCCAAATCCTCGTGGTTTGGGCTGGTTTTTATCAGCTGAGCATCCTGAACCTCGTTCAGGTTTTAAAATTGATTTTTATCTCGATTTTTCTCCTTGTTTTTATCTTTATTTTTATTTTTTATCAGTGATTTATCAGCAGGGCTCAGAGCTTTTTTGTGACCCCTCTCCTGTGATGCCTCGTGACTCCAGTGTGACCCCCAGAAAACTGATTTGATTTTCATCCTCGTGACCAGCTGAGCTCTGATGGGGCTTCTTTTGGAAGATCTTTGTGGTCACGGGGAGCTTCTCCCCCTAATTGTGGGTGCAAAAAACCTTCCAGAAAGGAGCTCTAGAGGAGGCAAAACACCCAAATAAAATAAATCAAATTAAATAAAGCAATTTTTTGGCTTCCTCAGCCAGGAAAACAATTCCTGCTTTCCCCCAGGGCAGCTCGGGGGTCACTGCAGCATCTCCCCCTTCCCCCAAACCCCATCTCAGAACCTTTTTTTCCCATTTTTATCCCCCCAGGAATGAGCTGCTCCTGCACCTGAAGACCTACAACATCTACTACGAGGGGCAGAACCTGCAGCTGCGGCACCGGGAGGTGAGACCCCACAACCCCTGATCCCAAATTCCCGGTTTTCCTGCGGGATCTGATCCCTGTCTGTGCCGCAGGAGGAGGGGGAGCTGATCGTGGAGGGGCTGCTGAACATCTCGTGGGGGCTGCGCCGCCCCATCCGCCTGCAGATGCAGGACGACAACCAACGCATCCGCCCGCCGCCCTCCTCCTCCTCCTGGCACTCGGGCTGCAACCTGGGCGCCCACGGGTGAGTGAGGGGCACAGGGAGCCCCAAAAAACGGCAGGAAACCCCAAAAACACAGCCAGCCCCAAAAACACAGCCAGCCCCAAAAACGCAGCCAGCCCCAAAAATGGCGGGAACCCCCAAAAACATTCAGTCCCAAAAACACAGCCAGCCCCAAAAACGCAGCCAGCCCCAAAAATGGCAGGAACCCCCAAAAACATTCAGCCCCAAAAACACAGCCAGCCCCAAAAACACAGCCAGCCCCAAAAAACACAGCCAGCCCTAAAAGCACAGCCAGCCCCAAAAAACACAGCCAGCCCTAAAAATGGCAGGAACCCCCAAAAACACAGGAACCCCCCAAAACATGCAGCCAGCCCCAAAAACACAGGGAGCCCCAAAAAACAGCAGGAACCCCCAAAAACACAGCCAGTCCTAAAAACACAGCCAGCCCCAAAAACACAGCCAGTCCCAAAAACACAGCCAGTCCCAAAAGCATTCAGCCCCAAAAACCGTCAGGCACCTCCAAAAATCACAGCCAGCCCCAAAAACACAGCCAGCCCCAAAACCTGCCCCCCTCCAGCCCGTCAGCCCATGGACAGACAGGACACCATGGCCAGGACACCATGGACAGGACACCATGGACAGGACACCAGGGACAGGACACCAGGGACAGGACACCAGGGACAGGACACCATGGACAGACAGGACACCATGGACAGGACACCATGGCCAGGACACCATGGCCAGGACACCATGGACAGGACACCATGGCCAGGACACCATGGACAGGACACCAGGGACAGGACACCAGGGACAGGACACCAGGGACAGGACACCAGGGACAGGAGACCATGGACAGACAGGACATTAGGGACAGGACAGGACACCATGGACAGGGCACCATGGACAGACAGGACACCAGGGACAGGACACTAGGGACAGGACACCATGGCCAGGACACCAGGACACCAAGGACAGGACACCATGGGCAGACAGGACACCAGGGACAGACAGGACACCATGGCCAGGACACCAGGGACAGACAGGACACCATGACCAGGACACCATGGACAGGACACCAGGCCACCAGGGACAGACAGGACACCATGGCCAGGACACCAGGGACAGACAGGACACCATGGACAGGACACCAGGGACAGACAGGACACCAGGACGCCATGGCCAGGACACCATGACCACAGCACCCACCACCCCGCTGTCCTCCCCAGGTCCGTGCTGAAGCCCAGCACCCTGCCGGACATCCCTCTGGCCGATGGAGACAGCGCGCCCGGCATGGAGAACCCCGGGAACGGCGCAGGTGAGCCGGGCTCGGATCCACCACGCTCGGGAGCAGCCGCCCCGCGCCCCAGCTCAATTTGGGAATTGTCCTTAACTCCTGACTCAGTTTCCCAAAGCCTCCAGCTCAGCCGCTCCCAAAGCTCCCAAAGCACCTTGAATTGTTTTATTTGGTCTTTTCCCAAAACTCAATGATCTCAAAGGTCTTTGAGACCTCAAGGATTCCCTGATTCCCGTGGGGTTTTTCCTGGGCTGGAGGGGTGGCGGTGGGATGTGGTGGGGCTTGGAAAGGAAGCGCGGGACGGAGCAGAGATCCCAGTGGGATTGCAGGGAAAAGGAGGAGGAGGAGGAGGATGTTGGAGCTTCCCCTTCCCGGAGGCTCCGCGTTTTGGGAAGGAGAACGGGAGCGTTGGGAAGCGGTGACCGCGGTGACCTGCTGCCTTTGTCCCCTCCCGGTTCCTCCTCAGCCCAGGGGGAAGAACTCAGCCACAGCTCCGTTAACCCTTTGTGCTGGATGAACTTTGCTCCTTCAGATGTTCTTGGGATGTTTTTTGAGGGGTAAAGAAGGATGAGCTCACCCTTTCGAGAGGAGCTGAGCCCTGGCAAAACTTGGTCCTCAAATCCCCATCCGTGATCCTCCAACTTTTCCCCTTTTTCTTTTTGCTCTCCCCACTCTCAACGCTTTTTCCCCCTTAATTAAATCACCTCACCACGACTCCCCTCAGCTTTATGGCCTCAATCCTCTGCCAGCACATTAAAAAAAGGCTTTTTATTAAATTTTCCCCTAAAATTCAGTAAATTACAGCTCCTCGGAGTGCTCAGGCACCGTTTGTGCAGCTGGAGCAGCTCCTGCCGGAGATTTCTCCCTGCTCCAGACATGCTTTGAATTAAAACTCCCCGAGCTGGAGCCTGAGAGCTTCATTAAAAATGGATGAAAAGCTGGTTTTATAATAATCTGGATCCAGGCCAGTTTTCAGGCAGAGATCTGAGGCTCTGCCCTCGTTTTCCTGCTCTCATTAAGGGGAAGGAGAACAAAGTTAAATTATGGAAAAGAGAGGGAAGATGCTCGAGTTCCCGGGAGAAGGGGTTTTATCCAGGCAGATTTAGGTGGTTAATTTGGAATTAATGACCTTCCTTGGGAGCTGGGCGAGGATAAACTGGTTTAAAGTTGTCCTGGGAAGTTTGTAGGGGTGAGAAGTTTGGGGTGAGGATTTCTGCATCCAAGTGAGGACTCCCAGTGGCTGCTCTGCAGCAGGAAAATTCTGGAATCTCCTGAGTGGAAAGGGACCACAAGGATCTTTGACCCAACTCCCACCCTGTGCTGGGAGCGTTGCCCAAAACCTCCTGGAGCTCCAGAGGAGAACCCTGGGCAGTTCCTCCTTGTCCCAGTGCGTTCTCCAAAACCTCCTGGAGCTCCAGAGAACCTCAGGTGGTTCCTCCTTGTCCCAGTGCGTTCTCCAAACGCTTCTGGAGCTCCAGAGGAGAACCTCAGGTGGTTCCTCCTTGTCCCAGTGCGTTCTCCAAACACTGCTGGAGCTCCAGAGAACCTCAGGTGGTTCCTCCTTGTCCCAGTGCGTTCTCCAAACACTGCTGGAGCTCCAGAGAACAACCCTGGGCAGTTCCTCCTTGTCCCAGTGCATTTTCCAAAACCTTCTGGAGCTCCAGAGGAGAAGCAGGGCTGGCTGTCCCCGCTGTCCCCGCTGTCCCCAGGGTCCCACGGGTGTTTTGCAGCCCCCAGGCCGGCGGAGGAGGCTCCACAGCTGATGAGAACCCGCAGCGACGTCGGCGTCCGGCCCCGCGGCAGCGCCCGCACGCCCGGGGAGCAGCGGCGGCTGCGCCGGCACCGCTTCTCCATCAACGGCCACTTCTACAACCACAAGGTGAGGCCGGGATCCTGCCGGGATTGGCAGGAATCCGTGGGATCCTGCCGGGATCCATGGGAATCCGTGGGATCCTGTCGGGATCCGTGGGAATCTGTGGGATCCTGTCGGGATCCATGGGAATCCAGTGGGATCCTGTCAGGATCTGCGGGAATCCAGTGGGATCCTGTCGGGATCTGTGGGAATCCGTGGGATCCTGCCGGGATCCTGCTGGGATCCGTGGGATCCTGCCGGGATCAGCGGGAATCCATGGGATCCTGCCGGGCTCTCAGCGCTGATCCTGCCCCGCAGACCTCGGTGTTCACTCCCGCCTACGGCTCCGTCACCAACGTGCGCATCAACAGCACCATGACCACGCCGCAGGTGCTCAAACTGCTCCTCAACAAGTTCAAGGTGAGGGCAGCGACCCCGCAGAGCTCCCGGGATGCTCTGAGTGCCGGCTCGGTGATGTGTTTAAAAATAATCTAGTTTATGGAATATTTATATAAAACCT